GTTCTATCAGTGTACACTATATACAGTAGATGGGTGGATGACGTGTTCTATCAGTGTACAGTATATACAGTAGATGGGTGGATGACGTGTTCTATCAGTGTACACTATATACAGTAGATGGGTGGATGACAAATTCTATCAGTGTACACTAGTACACTATATACAGTAGATGGGTGGATGACAAATTCTATCAGTGTACACTAGTACACTATATACAGTAGATGGGTGGATGAAAAAGTCTACAGTGTACAGGCTTACTTGCGGGTTATATGTAGTAACATCAATATGCTGTATAAACACAGTATAATTCAAGGATTTAAAATACAGGTATTGTTTTTAACGAAGCACTTGAAAACTTCTCCCAGCATCCTCACAAATACTTACCTTGAATACTATCCGGAAGTCCCTGATGTTGGTGCTGTGGGCCAACCTCTCCCACTTACTGAGCATGTCCGATAGTCGTTCCTCAGGATACATGTTCCTCTCTACAAGCACATAAACAAGGGAGGTACTCAGGATGAAAATACAGCAACAGGGTTTGAATACCAGATAAGACAATGCTGCACAATGTTTTTCTATTGTTTTACAGCTTACTGATGATTTCAGTCATTGGGGCCAAATATGCTCCAAAAGTAAATAGACAAGGGAGTTAATCAGGGCCAACAAACATCAACAGTTTGAAAGGCTCAGAACCCCTGAATAAAGGGAGATAATCCAGGTGAAAAAAATACATCACCAAGGTTTGAATTCCAGATAAAAAATGCTCACCAAATACACAGAGACCTGGGTAAAGAACACCAGCAGGGTTTGGACCTCGGGTAACTATGTCAATGCTTCACAAATAAACAGACCAGAGAGGGCATGAGGTCAACACTTGAACCATCAAATTGTCAAAACTTGAGACAATATCACAGGGTTATTTATTTACTCACCAGAACCTCCTACATACTCGTAAAGTGAGAAACACTCGGCATCAGACCGCATTCCTATTTTGGCTTTGACTACTTTTATCAACTGAAAATATGAACATGAAACACTGTTAAAGGAATCCTTTCCTTTATATTAATAAATCAAAAAACATATATCTCAACATTGTACAGAGTGGAACTTCGGTGATCAAAATCTGTGATTAAGTTGTTCTGGAGCAAAAATCATAAATTAATTGATATCCAGTATATTATGTCAGTTATACTGTGCCTGTACATACACATGTTTAATTCATGACCTAAAATTTGATTGTACCATGAGGTATATATATTTTGATTGAATCTCTCAGTCTTCTTCAGCCAAATACACTCATAAGTTTGTGGAAATGTTTCCCTGAGAGTCACATGACACTGAGGGTGGGTGCCCTAGTCCCTTGTCCCTCTTGAGGGATACACACAGCTACATATTTCAATAGCTTCTGACATTTTGCTAGAAAATGTTATAGGGATGAGGTATTTTTTATCATTGTTTCCAAGGTAGAGTCCTATGGGATCAACAGATACTCACCTCGCTACACGTTGAAGCAGAATCAAATTCTACACTCCGGTGCTCCCCATTCATAAAGTATACTCTCTCATGAACTGGTCGCCTGTTGGGGAAAATATTTTTTTTGGGGTTTTAAATAATCATCTCAACCTTTATTCAACAACACCTTTCTGATAATGATATAGATTTGTGTGAGAAGAGAGAATTGTTTTACTGTTACTAAAACATCTCCCTATGGCAGTAATAGGATAAAAAAATAGCTGGGTTTATTAATTGTCCTGTAACATATAGTCATCAACATTTGTTTGTATTAAAAGGAGTATCAAAATGAAGCTCACCTCTCTGTTAGAGAGTGTATCTCCTTCCTAGAGGGAGGGAACTTTCTTCTTTTCTTCTCCATCGTCCTGGTCAAACACTGCAAGTAGTAACAATCAATATTGAACTTCATTTTCAGTCACTGAATAAATATCCAGTGTAAAAATATCTCCTACCAAATTTTTTACCCAATAGATGTTCTAAGGCTGAAAATATATTAATATTTTTAAACCGAATACATGTTATTATGTTTCATGAATGAAAAATGTCTGAGATAAATCAACTTGAAAGGAGTTTACTTGTATAAGGTAGAAAACAATTATCTGTTGTGGAAGTTCAAAAAATCAGCAGTGGTTTTAACTAGGTACCATTCCTGTTCATACTTAGTCATGTCTGTACTGACCTTGTAACAGAACCTGGCATAGCGACCCTCGTCTGTCGTGGAGTCCAGGGAACATTTGCGTAGGTGACACTGCACATACTTCTGTACACGATTGTTGGTTGGGAACACTGTACTTACAGTGACGACCATCAGTTGCCAATTTCTCCGATTCACCTGACTGTTTGGATCTGTACATGAGATACACCAATATTTCATTTGATTACATTGTTCTTTGTACAATGAGTTCTTGAACTAAGTGGGAAAATTAGTAAACTCAAGACATTGGTTCAATTATCAAACTACATTAATAGGAAAAGTAATGTATATATTTAGTACTGTGTAAAAGATTTAGGAAGACTAAGACAAACACTATGAGAGAGTATTAATATGACTTAGGTAATAGTCAGATCAGTTTAAGACATCATGCATCTGTGTGATATTGACTTAGGACAGAAATAACTGATACAGAAATAATATCAATACATGAAGCATATTACATCTTATTCAAGATCTCCAGAGGACTTTATCAAAATAAAATCTCAACAGGCACAGGGAAAGGATCCATATATCAGAGACTCCCAACAAATTGACCATATAAGGCATTAATCAACTGAGGTAATTCTAAGTAAAATACAGTGCAGGTGAGATGTAACAAATGTGTAGTATATCTGCAATAATATGGTGAGAAATTATTGTCAGTCAAGGGAGCATTGTAGTAAATCTAAATCATACAGATCCTCTTAAAGCATTGTCACTATGTATGACACACTCGTGTTTCTTCACCATACTCAAATTATAACTTATGAAATAAGTAGTTACTTATCAATTAAACCAAAGCTTTGTAAAAGTAGCAAGATAAATTTCAATGAATCAAGTTAGTACAAAAGATCATCCCCACTCACAGAAATATAGCACAAACACACACGTTAATATAGCACACACACCCAACCCAGAAATATAACACCACCCTACCCTGCAGAATTATAAAACACCCCACCCACTCCCATAGAAATAAAAAAAAACACCCACCCTACAGAAATATAGTACAACCCCCCCAACAGAAATATACCCCCCCCCCCCCCCCCAAAAAAAAAAAACACCCCCCCCCCAAAAAAAAAAAAACACCCCCCCCAAAAAAAAAACCCCCCCCCCCCCCCCAAAAAAAAACCCCCCCCCCCAAAAAAAAACCCCCCCCCCCCCCCCCCAAACACACAATATCCCAACCCCAACACACAGAAATAGGTACCACATAAGTTTTATGATATGTCATAGCAGCAGATCATACAATGAACAAGCAGTTTAATAGCTGTCTCAACAAGGAAGTGAGGTTTAGACAGATACTGGGGGCTAGTCTGCAGCTGAAATCTGACTAATTGTAGTAAAATTAACCAGTGCCTTAAGGATCTCTGTTCCACTGCCGTGTGGTTTTCCTTATATACAGTATAACCTCCCCTTAACTTCCTTAAGGATCCCTGTTCCACTACCGTGTGGTTTTCCTTATATACAATAACCTTCCCTTAACTTCCTTAAGGATCCCTGTTCCACTACCGTGTGGTTTTCCTTATATACAGTAACCTTCCCTTAACTTCCTTAAGGATCCCTGTTCCACTGCTGTGTGGTTTTCCTTATATACAGTAGCCTCCCCTTGATTTTGTTTCAGATATAATTGTAGCACAGTTGGATCAGGACACTTTTATTGACAAAGTAACTCAGTCAGTTGGAGCAACAGTATAACAAACTGAAGTCCAGGGTTCGAATCCCCATCTTACCCCATTGAATTTTATAACACAGAACAATGTTTTTTATTTCATTTTGTTTAAAAACATTGTTCTGTGTTATGTCATCTTTATCATATTTTCATAACATTTCTACATGGTAAATTTTTCTTTTCAGAAATGAGTTTTGAAAGCCATAGTCATAAGGGGAAAAAACACTTTCCAATGTATTGTTACAATTTATGGCAGTGGTACGGGCATCCTTAAGCTGACTGATAAAAGGTGTAAAATACAATGGAAATAGTCAAACCTCATTACTGCAAACTAGGAAACTGAAATCATACTTTTGGTCTCAACTGCAAATTTGTTGCATAATTTCGTTGAGATGTAATGAGCACCCTTATCCAGGGTTTGTGATAATGAGTTGAAACTGTATGCAGTTAAAACCAATTAAAATTGTGAAGATCAATAAAATCTTCAGTTGTCTCTTTACTTCCCCTGGTTTTGTCACTGCTGATCTGCGACTATGACATATCCCTTCACCCAAAGTAGTTAGATGTTGATATTGATATCAAAGATGGGTTCAGGCCAAGCCAACTTTTATTTTGTTTTTGTTTTTAAGCACTATTGACATGCAGCTCTTGGTGTAAAGCTTAAAATCCGATACCATATAATATAGCATATAAACATTATGATAAAGTGAAGCTATATCTTTGCATTTTGATACAATTCAAAATCCTATGAACGGCTATTAACTACCAGCAGCAGATGGTTTAATTGTTCATGTGGTATTGAATAGGTCTATTTTTAAACCAAGGGTTCTCATGTGTAACCTTGCCTCAACATATACAGTTGATATATACATCCACACCCATACTTTACCTTTTATATAAATTGGTAAGCTTCATAAATAGAAGGAGGTGATAGTGATAGCAAATAGCTGAGCGGCGCTAAATAAATCTGAAACTCTCTTTTTTTTTTTTATTCCTTATCTTGAAAGTTAAATGTATTTGTGTGATTAAATTCATACAATAAGTTTTCATAGTATAATTTGTTGCAAAATGCTTCTAAGCATCAAAGAGCATCTAAATCAAACCTTTATGAGGCCACAGCATTCCTTCAAAGTAACTGTCGAAACATCTAAATCACCTAAAAGGCTACATACTTGTTCAATACAGTGGTAACAAAAATATACCTTGGTAAACAAAATGTGAAATTCTGTTAATAGTAGCCATGACCTTTGACCTTTGAAGGTAATCTCGTGCATTCCTTTTTTGTGAACTTAACCTTTGATCTTTTTATGCAAAAAGTATTTTCATAAAAATCCTTATATTTTTAACAGCACCAACCCACCAAGTCCTACCTCACCCCTAGTTACAGGAAGGGGAGATATGGTATTGTCTTCATCCTAGTGTAACATGAAGGGGAAATATGTTATTGTCTTCATCCTAGCTATATAGTGTAACAGGAAAGGGAAATATGTCATTGTCTTCACCCTAGTTACAGGAAGGGGAGATATGTTATTGTCTTCACCCTAGTTACAGGAAGGGGATATATGTTATTGTCTTCACCCTAGTTACAGGAAGGGGAGATATGTTATTGTCTTTACCCTAGTTACAGGAAGGGGAGATATGTTATTGTCTTCACCCTAGTTACAGGAAGGGGATATATGGTATTGTCTTTACCCTAGTTATAGGAAGGGGAAATATGCTATTGTCTTCACCCTAGTTACAGGAAGGGGATATATGCTATTGTCTTCACCCTAGTTACAGGAAGGGGATATATGGTATTGTCTTCACCCTTGTTACAGGAAGGGGATATATGGTATTGTCTTTACCCTAGTTACAGGAAGGGGAGAAATGGTATTGTCTTCACCCTAGTTACAGGAAGAGGAGATATGTTATTGTCTTCAACCCAGTTACAGGAAGGGGAGATATATTATTGTCTTCACCCTAGTTACAGGAAGAGGAGATATGTTATTGTCTTCAACCCAGTTACAGGAAGGGGAGATATATTATTGTCTTCACCCTAGTTACAGGAAGAGGAGATATGTTATTGTCTTCAACCCAGTTACAGGAAGGGGAGATATATTATTGTCTTCACCCTAGTTACAGGAAGAGGAGATATGTTATTGTCTTCAACCCAGTTACAGGAAGGGGAGATATATTATTGTCTTCACCCTAGTTACAGTAAAGGGAAATATGTTATTGTCTTCACCCTAGTTACAGGAAGGGGAGATATGTTACTGTCTTCACCCTAGTTACAGGAAAGGAATATATGGTATTGTCTTCACCCTAGTTACAGGAAGAGAGATATGTTATTGTCTTCACCCTAGTTACAAGAAGGGGATATATGGTATTGTCTTCACCCTTGTTACAGGAAGAGGATATATGGTATTGTCTTTACCCTAGTTACAGGAAGGGGAGAAATGGTATTGTCTTCACCCTAGTTACCGGAAGAGGAGATATGTTATTGTCTTCAACCCAGTTACAGGAAGGGGAGATATATTATTGTCTTCACCCTAGTTACAGGAAGAGGAGATATGTTATTGTCTTCAACCCAGTTACAGGAAGGGGAGATA